AGCCAAGTCGGAGCAGATGGCGGCGAGCAACCCGGGGCTTATCTAAGCCAGAAACTTTTGCCCAGGGAAGTAGATACACTGCCATTGAAAAGGAGTGCCTGGCGGTGGTGGGGGCCCTCAAAAAGCTGCAACCTTACTTGTATGGACAACTGTTTACCTTACTCACAGATCACAACAAATTTGGGGCACTGCGCGTGCAATCTAATGTGCCACCAGATAGGAGTGGTGTGTTAAGTAGTACTATTTTTATCAGTTTAATCCCTGTTACGTCCCCTATCCGTTGATGTGGAGCAAGATGCAGCAGCAGAAGAGGACTCAGCCGAGGAGGTTATGGAAGAGGATGGAGTAGGAGGAGTAGAGGAGGTGGCAGCAGGCCTGCCTGCAAGTCATGGCGGTGTCACCAACTCCTCTGCAGAGCCACGCATTCCATGCTTGGCAGCCGTCAGCAGGTTTGCCCAATGCGCAGTGTAGGTGATATACCTGCCCTGACCATGCTTTGCAGACCAGGTATCAGTGGTCAGATGGACCCTTGCCCCAACACTGTGTGCCAGACATGCCATTATTTCCTTTTGCACAATCGAGTACAGGTTGGGGATTGCCTTTTGTGAAAATAAATTTCGTCCAGGTACCAGTGAGTGAGTGGTGGCACTGGGCACAGTATCCACTGTGAGCCTGACACACCAGCTTTGCAGACAACTAACTGCTATTCAATCTATAACAGTGAAAAAAGTTTTTTGGTTTTAAATGCACGCTATTGTGACACCAGATATGAGTGGCAAAGTACACGGGCAAAGGTCTGCAGAGCACACGCTGAAGGAGGCCTGACACCCGCTTTAAGGACACTGACTGCTATTAGCTTACACTGAAAACTTTTTTTCTTTGTAAAAGCACGCTATAGAGACCCAGATATGAGTGGCAAAGTACACGGGCAGAGGTCTGCAGAGCACACGCTGAAGGAGGCCTGACACCTGCTTTAAGGACACTGACTGCTATTAGCTTACACTGAAAAACTTTTTTTTTCTTTGTAAAAGCACGCTATAGAGACACCAGATATGAGTGGCAAAGTACACGGGCAGAGGTCTGCAGAGCACACGCTGAAGGAGGCCTGACATCCATATGCTTGCAGACAACTAACTGCTATTCAATCTATTACAGTGAAAAAAATTTTTTTTCTTTTTAAATGTCAAGCTTAAGCTGTTGTGACACCAGATATGAGTCGTGGCACTGGGCAAATGGGCACAGTATCCACTGTGAGCCTGACACACCCGCTTTAAGGACACTGATTGCTATTCAATCTATAACAGTGAAAAAAGTTTTTGTTTTTAAATGCAAGCTATTGTGACACCAGTGAGTGAGTGGTGGCACTGGGCACAGTATCCACTGTGAGCCTGACACACCCGCTTTAAAGACACTGACTGCTATTCAATCTATAACAGTGAAAAAAGTTTTTTGTTTTTAAATGCAAGCTATTGTGAAACCAGTGAATGAGTGGTGGCACTGACTGGGCAAATGGGTACAGTATCCACTGTGAGCCTGACACAGAAGCTGGCAGCCTGACACAGAAGCTGGCAGCAGTGGCAGACAACTAACTGCAATTACATTATACAGAAAAAAACAAAAAACAGCAGACTGATGTTCTAGCCCTAAAAAGGGCTTTTTGGGGTGCTGTCCTTACAGCAGAGATCAGATGAGTCCTTCAGGACTGTAGTGGACACTGTATACCCTAACCTAGCTATGTATTTCCCTATCTAATCAACAGCAGCTACACTTTCCCTCCTCTCACTAAGCATGCAGCTTGAGAATGAATCTAACATGGATGCTGTCCAGTAGGTGGGAGGGTCTGCTAGGGAGGGTGTGCTGCTAATTGGCTGGAATGTGTCTGCTGACTGTGAGGTACAGGGTCAAAGTTTACTCAATGATGACGAATAGGGGGCGGATCGAACCGCGCATGTGTTTGCCGTCCGCGAACACGCTATGTTCGCCGGGAACTGTTCGCCAGCGAACCGTTCGGTGCATCACTATTCACAAAGGTGATGAAGCCGGTAGTGGCGTTCCTCAGGTCGCGGGGAGTACGCATGATTATCTATCTGGACGGCATACTGATTATGTCCGCGTCCCCCGAACAACTTCTACAGCATCTAGGCTGGACGGTGGATCTTCTGGAGAACTTAGGTTTTCTCATAAATTGGGAAAAATCCATGGTGTCTCCGACGCAGAGAATAGAATTTCTGGGTTTCGAAGTCGATTCGGTCGCCCAGTTTTTGTTTCTTCCAGAAGCCAAGCTAAAGGCTATGAAGAAAGAACTAAGACGTACTTTATGGACCACCAGTCTCTCCATTCGGCAACTGGCGAGGGTCATTGGTCTCTTGGCCTCCTCCATTCAGGCAATTTTTCCGGGACCCCTACATTACCGAGCCCTACAACGGCTGAAGAGATCCCATCTTCGCTCGAGCAGTTCGTACGAAAGCGAACTATCCCTGGACAGAGACTCCAAGGAGGAACTTCGATGGTGGTTGGACCATATGGAGGCATGGAATGGTCGAGCGATCTTCGGCTCAGCCCCGGATATGGTGATAGAATCGGATGCCAGCCTGCATGGCTGGGGCGCTCACTGTGGAAATGTCTCCACAGGTGGCAGATCGTCCGAAATCGAATCAACTGTCTGGAATTGCTGGCGGGATCGTTCGCAATTCGCAGCCTGTCTCCAACCCTGGGAAACTGCTGCATCCTTCTGCGCATGGACAATGTGTCCGCGGTCAGATATATAATTCACCTAGGTGGCACGAAGTCAAAACAACTGGCGTATCTAGCGAAGGACTTCTGGCAGTTCTGCCTCCACAACGCGGTGTCGGTCACGGCCGAACACATCCCGGGCTTGGACAACGAATGGGCAGACTGGAATTCGCGATACTTGAAAGACTCAGGAGATTGGCATCTGTTGCCTTCGATCTTTCAACAGATAGATCACCTGTGGGGCCCGTTGCAACTGGACTTGTTCGCATCCAGACTGAATGCTCAACTACCCCGTTACTTCAGTTGGAGACCGGATCCATCAGCCACGGCGGTGGAAGTGTTCCTGCAGATTTGGCTTCCGGGTCGTCACTTTGCGTTCCCCCCGTTCAACCTGATCTCTCGGACGCTGGCATACTTGTCCGGACAAGAGTGCACGTTGGTGGTGATAGTTCCCCTATGGCAGACTCAGCCCTGGTTTCCACGTCTCTTGGAGATGGCGGCGGAGTGTCCACGAATGATCAGGATGCGACCAGAGGTGCTTCTGGATCCGGATGGGAACTCGCACGAGTTAGTGGACCAGGACCTACTACAGCTCACGGCTTGGTTGATTTCGGGGGACCCTGGTGTGTCTCGGACGTTCCGCAGGCTACTACAAGACTCCTGGAAAATGCCTGGGCACCGGGTACCAGAACAGCTTACAAGTCTGCATGGCGTGTGTGGTCTGGCTGGTGCATGGGGAGACTGCTGGATCCCCTTTCTGCCCCTCTGAAGGAGGTGCTCAGCTTTCTGACTGCACGTTTTGAATCTGGTTTGGCCTATCGCACTATCAATGTTTATAGGTCGGCCATCTCAGCCGGACATCTAGGTATTGGCGGTTCACCGATTGGACAACATCCTTTGGTGTGCCGATTGTTGAAGGGTATTCGTTACTCTAGGCCTCCAAAATCAAGATATTCATCGTTTTGGGATGTTAACATAGTACTGGACTTCTTGGAATCATGGCCCCTTAATGAGGACCTGTCACTGAAGCAATTATCCTGGAAATTGGTTATGCTCCTGTGTCTCCTTTCATGCAAAAGGGTCTCAGATGTCAGGGCTTTGGACTGGAACGCGTTATCCTTCACCCCCGAGGGAGTGTCGTTTAACATCTCTAGGAGGACTAAGACGTCTTCTAAGTCAGTGACCTACCCTAGGTGTTCAGTCCAACCTGCTCTGTGTCCGGTAGCTTGCCTACGGGTGTACTTGGATCGCACTCATCTATTGAGGTCAGCGGATTTATCCCAATTTTATTGTTTATGTTTATTTTAATGTTTATTTCCTCTTAAGAAACCATTTCTCCCAATCTCCTCGACTACGTTAGCTCGTTAAGAATCTTCTATCTGCTGCAGGAATCAATACTTCAATTTTTTCGGCTCATACGGTCAGAGGCGCCATGGCGTCTAAGGCCTCCACTATGGGATGTCGTCTGGATGATATCCTGAAGGCAGCGGATTGGTCTAGAGAATCTACGTTCCGCAATTTTTATTTCCGCCCGATTGACCATGTCTCCTCGTTAGTTGTGGCTCAGCTTTAAACTAGCATAGTAGGAGCCTCCGTGTCATTAATAAAATTCCCAGATTTTACTAATAACATGACGTAAAGTCATGATTTTATTAATGACACGGAGGCGAGTATTATTCCCACCCACCCACCCGTTGGGAAGGGCTTGGGTCTATACTCATGGTTCAATCGGGGAGATCTTTTACCCCAAGGTAAGTGTTCACAGTTTTCTCTGACCTGACGTATCTGGATCTATGTATTTATATGGTTACAATTTTAACGTTTTTAGTCCTGCAGGTCAGATGGTCATAAAAAATGTTATATGCAGGTCCGGAGTTTGGATTTTACCTACTTTTTCTCTGTTTTACAGCTTGATTTCGTTAAGATGACGCCTACCTTGTTGGAGATTGTTCTTTCCTGATGTGGAAGTTTGGTTTGGGTCTTCGGTTCAGAAGGCAAAGAAGAGGAAGTGGAAGTACTAAGCAAGACATTTATGGACTGTTCCTACTAAGCTGATTGGCTGCCCTGTTACTAGGCAGATCTGGTTGTGCCTGTTATTATATTTCATATCTACATTTTTTCTCTTTCAGTTTTATATTTCTCTTTGCTGCTGAGGAATAAAGTAAGAAAGAGATAGCATAATACTCGCCTCCGTGTCATTAATAAAATCATGACTTTACGTCATGTTATTAGTAAAATCTGGGAATTTTTCTGCAGAAAACACCAATATGAAGCGAAACCGACCAAGCGGGTCTCAGCAACGAAAAATTAAGAAGGCAAGAGAAAAGTCAGCTGAGGCGATGTCTGGATCAATTTTAAAATATGTTGCACCTTCAACATCTACCGCAGTAGGAGAAAGTGCTGAAGACGTTCAGTCTGTTGAATCCATAAGTGAAATGCCTGAAGTATCTTCTCAAGAAGCTTTAAATGTGAAAGTGCAAGAATTGGAGAAGATCATTTTATCTTCAAGCGGTGAAAGTGATGTAGATGAAGGAGATGCCAGCAGAAGCCTGCATCAGCAAGACTCTGATGAAGAAGAGGAGACTGTTCAACTGTCAGTTTATTCTGATGTTGCTGCTTGGCCAGTTCCAGTTCCAGATGTTTTAAGAGTGGACCTTATTAAGAGGGGAAGTGAACCTTTCCAAAATAAAGATGGGCCATTCAGTCCTGTTGAAAGGCAAGGAGAGAAATCAAAAGGGAAGAGTCGACAGCTGATCACTGCATGGTTCTATAAGGCTCTGCCTAATGGCGAAACAATTCTTAGAATGTGGATGGTGTACTCTCCATCAAAACAAAGTTTGTTTTGTTTTTGCTGCAGACTTTTTGCTGTTGATAACAAAGTAACAGGGGCATCCAGTTTTGTTACTGGGTTTCAATTGTGGTGGAAGCTTAACCCAAAGGTGTCTGATCATGAGGCTTCTGAGCAGCATCTTACATGCTTGGAGAAATGGAAGACCTTGAGAGCAGGATTGAAGCTACAAAAATGCCTTGATCATGTCCATCAAACAACAGTGGACAGAGAGAAAAAGAAATGGAGGGATATTTTGCATCTTTCTTTCTGGCTCACCAGAATCTTCCCTTTCGTGGTCATAGAGAGACCATGTCATCCGCAAACAAAGGCAACTTCCTCGAATTAGTAGAATTGCTATCAAAACTATGATCCCATTTTAAAGGAACATTTCATGAGCCTGAAACATGCTGTTGCATCTGGAAAGAGAATGACTTCTTATTTCTCTCCAAAAATTCAGAACGAATTAATTTGTCTTTTGGGAAATCATATGAAGGACAAAATAGTGGCTGATATCAAGAAAGTACTTTGGGATTCTCTTTGACAGCATCCCTGATGTGTCCCACACTGATCAGATGTGTGAAGTGATCAGATATGTTCATATTGAAGGTGACAATGTTGAAGTAAAGGAATCATTCTTGGGCTTCTTTCCTGTTGCTGAAAAGACTGCTGCTTTGCACCAGAAAATATCCTGCAACATCTGGAGTAAGATGGACTAGACATAAGCCTTTACCGTGGTCAAGGATATGATAATGCTGCAACTATGGCAGGGATTCATGGTGGTGTTCAGGCAAAAATAAAAGAGATTAATCCCAAGGCTTTGTTTATGCCATGTGCAAACCATTCCCTGAACCTATGTGGGGTTCACTCATTTGGAAGTGTTGCTTCCTGTGAGACCTTTTTTGGAACATTGGAGAGAATGTATTCCATTTTTTCGGTTTCTACACATCGTTGGGAATTGCTAATGGAAAATTTAGGTGTGACAGTGAAAAGACTTTCCCAAACAAGATGGAGCGCTCATTATGATGATGTGAAGCCAGTGAGGGCAAGTTTTGAAAAACTGACATCAGCCCTTGAAAAATTGTGTAATCCCAAAGAAAATGTGGACACAAGAGGATCGGCTCAGATGTTGCTGTCTGCCGTATGTGATTTTTCTTTTTTGTGTTACCTTTCTTTCTGGTGTGAAGTTCTACAAGAAGTAAATATCACACAAAAATATTTGCAAACTGTGGGACTCACCCTTGAAAAGTGCATTGTGAAACTACAAGGTTTGAAAGCATTTCTAGCAGATCAGCGCAGTGAAATTGTGGAGAAGGCCATTTGTTATGCAACTACTACGTGTAAAGAAATGGACATTTCAATGGAAAGAAGAGGGAGTGTAAAGCTCCGTAAAACAATGCCAGGAGAGAAGGCAAAGGACGCTGGTTTCACATTGCCAGAGGAAATGAAAAGTGCTATGTTTGAGTACCTTGATCGTTTTCATCACGAGTTGGAAATTCGTTCCCAGGCAATTGAAAAAATCCTTTCAATGTTTGCTGTTATTCAGCCAAACTCTCTGGTTGTGGCAACAGAGAAAGATATTCGTAATTATACTCCAAAATTGACTGAGATTTTTGACGAATTCTCTAATGAAGACATCTTTAGGGAAATTGAACGTCTTCGGAGGCATTTGGAAGCTGACAAGATCAGTGTTGAAGAAGCAAAGAAATGGACAGCATTGCAGTTCCTGGAGTTCATTGTTAAATGGGATTATGGTGAATCTCTGTCAAATTTGTCACTGTGTTTAAGATTCTTTTTGACTCTCTGTGTGTCTATTGCTTCATGTGAAAGAAGTTTTTCCAAATTAAAATTGATTAAAAAAATGTATTTCGCTCAACCATGAGTGAGACAAGGTTGACAAATCTGGCTATACTTTCAATTGAGCATGAATATGCAAGGAAGATTGGCTTTGATGAAGTAATCAATAAATTTGCAGAAATGAAGGCTCGAAGGCAGCGGATGTGAATCATTGCACATTACCTCTGCCGAATAGACTGAGTGGTCACTTTGGATCTGTGTGTTTTTTTTGTTTATAGAAAGCGTATTAACTGTTAAGTAAATGTTAATTATTTACATTTTATTTATAAATTAATTTATTTTTCATAGATCATTTTTTTTCAAGTTGATATACAGTTTAAAACATATTGAAAACATTGAAAAAATTGTGGGTGTTTTCTTACATTTTTATTATGGGGGGAGGGGTGCCACACTCAGGGTCTGCCCCGGGTGCCAAATGCTCTAGGTACACCCCTGGTATCCAGTACTCTTTTTACAATTCTTGTTTAGTTTTTCTTGGTTTTTTTGGTTTTCTATTCTATGTCTGGTTTTCTTTATGCTGGGTTTTTCTGGGTTCATTTCTGTAATCCGTCCCTGGAATTCCCCATGTCCAGGTTTCCTTTAAATGTTTGTTTTATGTTGCCACACCTGTTTGTTTTCCATTTTCCTTTTGTTTCAGTCTGGACCTGCAGCAGTGTTTCAAGTCTCTGCCCTTTTTTGCAGGTAAGTGCTATTGTGGTTTAATATAGTTCTTTTAGCGAACATTAGGCAGTGTAGGACCTGCCGAATATGGGGTACATTGGCGTTGTGGCAGGTTTATGCAATGTATGATCATATAATGTAACTAAATCCCCCATACTTTTCATATATAGTGCTTAGTTATGTCTCTTGTTTTGCCTATTATATCTTGTCTTGCTTTATTTTGTAATCCCAGTCCATGTACAGTCCTGTCATGCCCAGGTTATGTTCATGTTTCCCTCTTGTATTGTGTACATATTCTGGGTTCTGCTTCCTATCCTTCTCTGGTTCTGGGTTCTACTAGTCCTGTCTTGTTTTCATGTTTGGTGCCTGTTCTAGCCTTGCCTTGTTTCAGTACTGGATACATCTTAGCATTTATCTGCTCTGGCTTCCACTAAGCTGCAACAGGGTCTTGGTTTGTGGCTGCACAAACGCTGGTGCTCAACACCAGGGGCATGCGATTACCCAGCACCAGACCTTGCTAATCTGCCTCCACACTGTGACTCCTCTGAACATCAGGCATACTGGGTCCCGGTCCTCGCACCGCCGCCCGGACAGTGTCTGGGTCCCTGGCACTGGACCGCCACCCTGACAGTGCATAACTTTGCATTTCTCTATGTTAAATTTCATCTGCCATTTTAGTGCCCAGTCCCCCAATCTATCCAAATCCCTCTGCAGCAAGGCAATATCCTGCTCACATTTTTATCACTTTACAAAGTTTTGTGTCATCTCCAAGCACTGATACATGGCTTTCAATGCCCATTTAAAGATCATTTATAAATATGTTAAATAGAAGCAGTCCCAAAACAGAACCCTGAGAGACACCACTTTTTAAATATAGGAACAACATCTGCCTTCCTCTGGTACAATACCTGAAACAAAAGAATCTTGAAAAATTAAAGTGCTGCTAACAGACGCTAAGTAGCAGACGTGCTGCTAATTAAATCTCCTTGATTAAGTGGTCATCAGAAGGCATGACCACCTCTAAAAAAGCTAAAGGTTTTGCAGTTTCCTGGTTTGGAGCATTCAGGTGTGTTAACACAATGCCAAGTAGGAAATACATTAGCAATAATCGTGAAAAAAACACATTCAAGACGATTGTCAATCTTCCCAGGAGTGGACGACCCAAGCAAATTCACCACAAGGTCAGACCGTGCAATGTTAAAGTTCATGACACTACAATTAGCAAAAGACTGAACAAGTATGGTTTATTTGGAAGAGTTGCCAGGATAAAGTCTCTTCTCTCTAAAAAGAGCATGGTGGCACAGATTAAGTTTGCATCTGAACAAACCACAAGATTTCTGGAACAATGTCCTTTGAACAGACGAGAGCTTAGTGGAGATTTGGCAAAAACCAAACACAGCACATCAGCACAAACACCTCATGCTAACTGTCAAGCACATTTGTGGAGGGGTGATGAACTGGGCTTGTTTTGCAGCCACAGGACCTGAGAATCTTGCAGTCATTGAGTAGACCATCAACTCCTCCATATACCAAAAGTATTCTAGAGTCATATATGAAGCCATCTGTCCGACAGCTTGGCCAAAGTAGGTGATGCAACAGAACAATGATCTCAAGCACACTGGCCCAGTCAAAGTCCAGTCTCAAACCTGATTGGAATACTGTAGCGGGACCTTAAGAGAGCTGTGCATAAACAAATACCAGCAAACCTTAATAAACTGAAGCCACGTTGTTGAAAAGAGTGGGCAGAAATTCCTCCACTACGATGTGAGAGACTGAAAGTCATACAGAAAAAGATTACTCTTGCTAAAGGTGGTTCTACAAGCTTTTGAATCATAAAGTTTACTTAGTTTTTCATACATAACTTCTTCATTTTGGCTCTATTTTTGTTAAATAAATTATGACACGGTGCAATATCTCATGTGTTGTTGTTCATCTGAGGCTGTATTTACCTAATTTTAAGACCTGATAAGGAACAGATAAATTGTTATGTCCTGATATGTAAATCCATAGAATTCAAAGAGGGTGTACTTTCTTTTTCCCCATGACTGTATGTTACATATTTGCAGTACAGTGGCATCTCTAGGATTCATTTTTAGGGGGGCACATGGTGGGCCAGAGACAAAAGTAGGGGGATAGTTAAAAAACATGTATGCATGTGTGTGTGTATATGCACACGCTCTCTTAATCCCTCTGCAAACTGCAGTCTCAGGCCCACTTTAACCAGTCACAACGCAGTACAGGGTATATATACTTCATGGCTGTCCTTGTTTCCTTGCCTGCCCAGTCATAATTTCTCTTTACTCGAGATTGTGTTTTTGTCTATACTTGTTTTTTAAACTTTGGCTTGCCTGACTATCCTTGCTCTCCATTATGCTGACTTTAACTTGTTTCTCAATTCTCATGTTTACATTTATTCTGTCTCTTCCTGCAGGCATTCCAGCCTATATTCTAAGTGCTAGCCCGGTCACTCGAACGATCAGTACGCATTCATACTTTACCTTTAACCAAGGTTTTTTTGACAGTTTGAAACCAAATGCACAAGTCTAATAAATAGTTTGAGCCACTGCCTTTTGTAACAGTGAAATTGTAGGTTAAGTGCTATGTGACAGCTCTATTAGACAATCATAGGATGATCAACTCAACAGTGCTTGCTAATTATGCTGAATAGTTTGCTTCATGGTGAAAGGCTGTATGCTCATGAGGCACACTGCTGGCAGGAAGCTTGGACAAAGACATATTTTAACAAGTTTGGTGATAGAAGCATTTTGTTGGCATTCTTTGAATTACATCTGGAGTATTAGCTTCTTCCTAATGACCTGACAGGTACAATTAGCACACCGGTTCAATCAACATTCCCCCCCTCCCTTTCCTTTGCAGAGCATTTTTTGGGGGGCACGTTTCTTTCCCTTTTTTGTTTAGTTACTGCAGCTCTGTGTCCAGCAGTGTGTCCAGTTGGTGGATTTACCCCAAAAATATGCAACTTGCAGACTGAGATTACATCGGACACTCTTAGAGCCAAGGACTGGCATAACCACATTACTGAAAAACCCAGTATGTCCATGAAGAAATATCTTAGAAGAGCTTAGGTTATAGAAGTAGTATTCTGCCAGTAGAGAAAACTCTATTCTGTCTTGTTTTGTAGAGTTCAGCAAATTGCAGATACAAAGATTCGACTATTCTTTCAATTTTCTTTTGTTTGGTTTCTTGTTGAAACACTGAGTTACATCAAGTAAGGAAACATTATTCTAGACCGACCGAGCAGTTTTTGTGCTCACTTGGAATCCAACTTAACTTTCTGACATTCATCAGCTCTTTTTCTGCAAACTGACTCTGAATGCTATTTACTGTTGCTGAGTTTTATATATTTGCAAATTTGTTTTGGGGCATGCTTTGTGGTTTATACAAGCATTGAAAAGTCACAATCTAAGGTACATAGGTAAGCCTGAACTGTACGAGCCAAAACTATATGTTAAAAGGATATTTCTTAAGACTTACTTGTCTACATCTACTTTTAAACACATTGCCACTATTTTAAAGGGAGAAGTAAATGATTATTGAAGGTCTAAACCACCCTGGTCTGTAACAAACAGTTATAGGTCTAATAATGGCTTTACCAGTGCATTGTAACCAGTTAACCAAACTGGATGAGAAGTTAATAAAGCATGAAGATTTCAAACTAGGTTTGATCATCCCTCCACTTCCTCAGTTGAGAGTTTAAGGGGATTTTTGATTGCTTGCATGGTATCTTTGTTGAAGAATGTTTTCTATATATTTCCAGGATATTGCCAATTCCAAATGAACATCTTATGAAGGGTGCCTAGTGATAGTTTTACTATTACTTCTCTGTTTTGTCTTTAGATTTCCATATAAAATGCATTATTACTCTTACAACAAATCTTCTCAATTTCTTTAAAGTAGGCACAAATTACTGGACCAAATCAGAAACAAATCATGGGAATTCCATCAATAATCAATGATGCAATGGTCTTCAACTTCATCCAACGGGTAAGGGGGAGAGAGTAATAATTATTAATGGAAGATACCGTAACTCTTAGAAGTTTAAAGGAACACTATAGTGTCAGGAATGCAAACATTCCCCAGACCCCTTTAGATCGCATTAGAATGGTGATTTTACTCACCTTCTTTCCTATGTTGTGCCAGTCTCAGCATGGCTGGCCCCACTTCCATGGCTGAGATCATCAGGCTTGAAGATCTCAACCAATATAATGCTTTCCCATAGGAAAGCATTGGGAGACTATTGTGCATGTGTGGCAAAAAGCTGTGGTTCCCTAATCAGCATCTCCTTACAGAAATGCATTGAAACAATGTATTTATATGGGGATTGTTCAGTGCCTCCATGCAGAGTGTGGAGATGCTGAACATCAGTGTTGCAAAAAGTGCAGCACTGGACCAGGAAACACCTCTAATAGCCATCTGAAGAGTGGCCACTAGAGGTGTTTCTAGACTGTAATGTCAACACTGCCTTTTCTCTGAAAAGGCTATAGACGCCAGAATCACTACATTGCAGTGGTTCTGGTGACTATAGTGTCCCTTTAATTACCTCAAAAGAGCCGATAGGACTCCACATGAACTGGAAGGCAGTACACCTTTTTTCACCCAAAGTACAGTGGATGAGGCTTAATAATACTGAATAGGGTAGGTATGATATTACATTAATGGCCCCTAATACTGGAGTAGAGCTGATGTCCTTCACAGGGAGATTGAAGAAGTCCTGATGCAGCTAGGTCCCTCTGAGTGTCTACTCCTCCATCGTCTATTGGCAACTGGGGTGGGGTAGCTAAAAGAGCATGCCAATGGCCCACTAATATGTATATGCTATTGGGTTCCCAATAATTGTTTCCATATTCTATTCTACCAATCCCCATTCACCAAATGCATCCTAATGACAAAGCCCCTAAACCCATCTAGATATTCCTAGATATATTATTTATTTATAAAATATTTTTACCAGGAAAGATACATTGAGATTTCTCTCGTTTTCAAGTCCCGGGTCCACAAATCATTATTTTTACATCATCAGATTCCTTCATCACATAAGAACCTTAAAAATATAAACAACCTCATATGGTTTTAGTTTACAAACACCTACATTATTATTGCTCATAGTTACTTATAGTCTATTCCATGGATAGGCAACCTTCGGCACTCCATATGTTGTGGACTACATCCCCAATAATGCTCTTACACCCATAATGCTGGCAAAGCATCATGGTAGGTGTAGTCCAAAACATCTGGAGTGCCGAAGGTTGCCTATCCCTGGTCTATTCTATTCTGTCACCATACTGGTGGTGCCTTCGTATTCTACATTTTTTACCGCTTTCTCGTTCATTTTTTTACATTCCTTATTGATTTTAACTCAGGCTACAGGGCAAAAAGGCCGTGTCTATTTAAAGTGTTTGTTAATTGAAGCTGTCAGCTGATTAGGTAGGTGCTCCCACCTCTGTTTGAAAATATGCACACACTGCAATGTCTGTATGAAATAAACTGTTTAATGACACACTTGTCACCTATTGGCATCATTGATGCACTTATCTGTGTGTAACCTTCAACGTATGAAGTAGTCAGAAATCCCGCACAGCGCCAGTTTCTATCGAGATGGACATTGCAATATTAACAATTAATTCTTGGCTTTGGCCTGATTTTAAGACAATCATTTTTTTTTGTCCTTGGTGCCGTTGCCAGCATTAATAAAGTGAGTGAAATTTTAATTGTGGTTGCTTTTATATCTGTCACACAATATTGACAGGAAGTTAGAAAAGGTATTGATTGTTTGTTTCTGGATGCTGGATTGTAATGTAGATGTCTGTTTGCTATTGTGGTAATGGTTTCAGTTCCTTGCCATTTCCCCAGAACGAAATCCCGGACACAGGATTATTCAGATCTCACTGGTGTCTGCATACTGCCATCCAGAATCACTCTCCTGCTTGACTTGCTGCATTGTATGGTTGTGTGACTTGCATGTTTGTAAATTCTCAGCTCTGCCCCTGGGTCACCTGGTTTGACAGCTGACTGACAGGTCGGCAGGTAGTGCCCTTTCTTCAGCACAGAACAGAATAGGATATAGCTTTTACATACCTTAGGGAGATTATTTGCAACTTAAATATAGCAACTACGTAATATATGCCTGCTAAACGCTTCTATCATTCCATCCAATAATATAAAATAATAAAAGTTATTTTTTAAATAGTAAACATTTATCTTCAATTAATTTTAAAACCATTGCCTGTTAGATGCAATAATTAGACTATTATTAGAATAGAAAATACAAATAAATTAGTCACATCAGACAAACCTGTCCAAATACCACAATAACACTTGTTTTACACTGACAAGTAATTAAATTGGGATTAAGTTGGGTGGTCCCGACGTGACTGCTTCCAAAAGACCAGGTTCTGAACAGGTTATGGTTTTTTTCTTCATAAATTGTGGAGGATGGAAAATTCTAGTACAGAAACATAAAATTTCTCCTACTCAGATATTTGTCTGCAGCTGCTAGTTTAGTTTCAATTTGCAATTCAATGTCCATTTTCCACAATACGCTGATTAGTCAGTCACCTCAATTTTGCATGGTCAGATGCCTGGGTTACACATACATGTTATGTAATTTTCACAGGTTAAATAACATACATTTTGCATTTGAATATTCTTTATGGCGTTCTTCATAGAACCAAGAATTGTGGAAAATTGACAGGAGAATTGGACATTTGACACTAAAATAGTGGATATATTAAAAACCACCAACTCCGCTAATTATTATGCGTATAGTTTGCAATTGCCTACTCAGTTTTCCTCTTTCAAGGTCGAGTAAAAAACTTCCCTACCTGTATACTTACCTGTTTATATAATATTTGTGATAAATATTCTTGATTCAACTTTCGTTGATTTATTATGTGTTATCCTTAAGTCCAAAACTCAGCTGTCAACAAAGAAGTGAAAAAAAAATTAGAAAAAAGAGCAAGATGAACAATTAGTCTGATCTGTGGCATACAGTTACACCATTATAAAAATATTGATCAAAACCAATGGGAAATATTCACTCATCACCGCCGTTACATTTTCTTTCATAGCAAATGTATTAGACAGCACCAAATCTGTAATCCTGATGCTGTAGATGTAAACAGTTCTAAATGTCTTTCGTTTCTCCGGCTGCTTTGACAAACGTAATCCAGCCACTGTGCTGTTTCTCTGTCCCCCGCTGAGTTAAACAGGTGCGCAGCAAATACTCGCAGCAGAAATTTCCTGGTTGCTCTTTTTTGGTATGGTGCTGGGTACAGCAGTGTATATCAAGCAACAGGCATGTTTGTGTTACAGTTATCAGTTGCAGAATTGCACGTTCTTCCATAGAAAACACATTTCAGTTAAGGTATTTTCGTCTTTTCAACTATAGATAGAAATGCGTATTTCATATAATATCCCGTTGGCGGTGAAAGGGTTAACTGGAATTCTATTCCCAGTCTCAGCTGTTTGAAATTTGCACTCAGCTATCCGTCAGTAGTTGAAAAATCAGTCTTCTACATAACAAAAGCTGACCTATAAAAACAAACGCCACTTTATCAGTGTTGTTGAGGTGCCCGATACATATGTGGAAAAAACAAATGGTAACTGACATATGTCATTTTTCCTTTCAATTCAAAGTCCATTCCACTGACCTCTGGGAGCATGACGGGGCTATGAAACAATGCGAAGCAGAGCTTCCTATGGCAAGAAGTATTAATAGAATCTCATCCCTTGTCTTGTAGTGTCTTTATTTCTGCCTGTGGCAATATACTACTTAATGCAGCCGCTCATTGCATAAATACGAGCAGTGTATCTGAGGCCACAATGCTGAATTATTAGAGATTCAGCCTGACTGTATAATTCTATTGTGCAGATGCAAAGATGGAGTTTGAAATTCGTAATAACAATTTGTCTGTCAGAGGTCTGTGTGCTAGGAGGAACTAATTTAAATATTAGCCCTTTTAGAGGCTCTACTCATTAATTTTACTCCAGATTACACTTCCCTTGCTATAGAGTCCAAATAATGTGCCCCAGCCATCCTTATTATTATTATTGCCATTTATATAGT